GTATAATTAGTGGTTGCACCTCACAGTCAGTAGGCTTGTCTTAAGTAAATGTTTATATATGCAGGTTTACTAGACTAGAAGGGGCGGTCTGGTAGCCTAGTGGTTAAAGCTTTCGATCGTCATGCCGAAGACACGGGTTCGATTCTCGACATTGTTACAGTGTGTGAAGCCCATTTCTTGTGTCCCCCGCTGTGGTATTGCTGGAATATTGCTAAAAGCGGCATTAAAACCATACTCACTCACTCTACATTTTGCTGAGATGATGAAGATATCCAACACAGCATCAGTCATTACATCTTTGTACAACCACACATTATTAATTCTAATGTAAGATTAAGGCTATGAACGTGATGACATCCTCCTGACAACCATGTCATAAACTGTGACCAGAAAGTTTGCACAAAGTCAAATTCCCAAAACATGTGTGAGATGGACTCGCCTTCTTCATTACAAAATGAACATTTATCAGAGTCCTTAACTTTGATTTTGCAGAGAAAAAATGTTAGTTGTTACAATCCAGTCCTGAATTAAAACCACCTCAGGTTTGTTTCCTGGGTTAGGGAAAATAGAATGCCAATCAAGGTCAGATGAGAATTCAGCTTGCCACTTAGATTTAGCTGTATAATTACCTTTAGATGAGCATAGAGGATAATAATATGCTTTTGAACCTTTCTTTACAGAACAAAGCAATCGTTTCACAGGAGAGTTATCCACACATTGCACAGTTTTTTCTTTTGAAATTGTATGTTTTTTCAAATATGTTTTCAAATAGAATTTATTACACCAGGTGATACATACTGTAAGACCGATGTATTCAGGTGATACAGACTGTAAAACCGATATATTCAGGTGATACATACTGTAAGACTGATGTAGTCAGGTGATACATACTGTAAGACCGATGTATTCAGGTGATACATACTGTAAGACCGATGTAGTCAGGTGATACATACTGTAAGACCGATGTAGTCAGGTGATACATACTGTAAGACTGATGTAGTCAGGTGATACATACTGTAAGACCGATGTAGTCAGGTGATACATACTGTAAGACTGATGTATTCAGGTGATACATACTGTAAGACCGATGTAGTCAGGTGATACATACTGTAAGACTGATGTAGTCAGGTGATACAGACTGTAAAACCGATATATTCAGGTGATACATACTGTAAGACTGATGTAGTCAGGTGATACATACTGTAAGACCGATGTAGTCAGGTGATACATACTGTAAGACTGATGTAGTCAGGTGATACATACTGTAAGACCGATGTAGTCAGGTGATACAGACTGTAAGACTGATGTAGTCAGGTGGTAAATACTGTAAGACCGATGTAGTCAGGTGATACAGACTGTAAGACTGATGTAGTCAGGTGGTACATACTGTAAGACTGATGTAGTCAGGTGATACATACTGTAAGACCGATGTAGTCAGGTGATACATACTGTAAGACCGACATAGTCAGGTGATACATACTGTAAGACCGATGTAGTCAGGTGATACATACTGTAAGACCGATGTAGTCAGGTGATACATACTGTAAGACTGATGTAGTCAGGTGATACATACTGTAAGACTGATGTATTCAGGTGATACATACTGTAAGACCGATGTAGTCAGGTGATACATACTGTAAGACTGATGTAGTCAGGTGATACATACTGTAAGACCGATGTAGTCAGGTGATACATACTGTAAGACCGATGTAGTCAGGTGATACATACTGTAAGACCGATGTAGTCAGGTGATACATACTGTAAGACTGATGTAGTCAGGTGATACAGACTGTAAGACTGATGTAGTCAGGTGATACATACTGTAAGACCGATGTAGTCAGGTGATACATACTGTAAGACTGATGTAGTCAGGTGATACAGACTGTAAGACTGATGTAGTCAGGTGATACATACTGTAAGACTGATGTATTCAGGTGATACATACTGTAAGACCGATGTAGTCAGGTGATACATACTGTAAGACTGATGTAGTCAGGTGATACATACTGTAAGACCGACGTAGTCAGGTGGTACATACTGTAAGACCGATGTAGTCAGGTGATACATACTGTAAGACTGATGTAGTCAGGTGATACATACTGTAAGACCGATGTATTCAGGTGATACATACTGTAAGACTGATGTAGTCAGGTGATACATACTGTTAGACCGATGTAGTCAGGTGATACATACTGTAAGACCGACATAGTCAGGTGATACAGACTGTAAGACTGATGTATTCAGGTGATACATACTGTAAGACTGATGTAGTCAGGTGATACAGACTGTAAGACTGATGTAGTCAGGTGATACAGACTGTAAGACTGATGTAGTCAGGTGATACATACTGTAAGACCGACGTAGTCAGGTGGTACATACTGTAAGACCGATGTAGTCAGGTGATACAGACTGTAAGACTGATGTATTCAGGTGATACATACTGTAAGACCGATGTATTCAGGTGATACATACTGTAAGACTGATGTAGTCAGGTGATACATACTGTTAGACCGATGTAGTCAGGTGATACATACTGTAAGACCGATGTAGTCAGGTGATACATACTGTAAGACCGATGTAGTCAGGTGATACATACTGTAAGACTGATGTAGTCAGGTGATACAGACTGTAAGACTGATGTAGTCAGGTGATACATACTGTAAGACCGATGTAGTCAGGTGATACATACTGTAAGACTGATGTAGTCAGGTGATACATACTGTAAGACCGATGTAGTCAGGTGATACATACTGTAAGACCGATGTAGTCAGGTGATACATACTGTAAGACCGATGTAGTCAGGTGATACATACTGTAAGACCGATGTAGTCAGGTGATACAGACTGTAAGACCGATGTAGTCAGGTGATACATACTGTAAGACCGATGTAGTCAGGTGATACATACTGTAAGACTGATGTAGTCAGGTGATACATACTGTAAGACCGATGTAGTCAGGTGATACATACTGTAAGACCGATGTAGTCAGGTGATACATACTGTAAGACCGATGTAGTCAGGTGATACATACTGTTAAAATCATCCAGAGATAAATAATCTCCATTTTCATTGACAATATCACATATGTGGGTAATACCTTTCTGAAACCATGATTCATTAAAAACTGTTTTTTGCTTGCTGTAAAAGGCGACTATGCTTGTCGTAAGGATTTTAGGACCAAAGCCAAAAAATGACAGAGGTTTTTGTATGAAATTCCTAGAAACAGAATCAAAAGCCTTGGCAAAATCTACCCTTATTAGCATTCCTGGCAATAGAATAGTCTTTCATGGAAGGATTTAGCATCTGTCAAAAGTTCATCAGTGCCATAAATAATGGAACTATCAGATCTTTCTACTTCATTCAAAGTTAGACATCTAGTCTGTGCTAAAAAGAAATATATACCTTCAATAGGTAAACAGAAAGTCTCGCAGACAAACATCTTACTGTAGCCAGAAAGTTCTGACATAGAGTTAATTGAATAAGAGGCATATACGTTCAATAGGTGAATAGAAAAGTTTGCTAACTCTTTGAAAATACGTGTTGGCCTACCTTCAACAGGTAAACAGAGTCTCTCATACATGTTAATTACTGTCAATTTTCAACTTGATTGTCCGACCAAGTCGAAAAGTCCCACTCAGATATCAGGTTCCTCAAAGACCATGTGATTTCCAAGCTTGGGAGGGGCCTGTTCTATCTTGGAGAAACACACTTGTACCCATTTCGTTAACACAAATTTGTAGTTTGTGGAGAGAGCGAAGCTTTTAGCTGTCGACAAAAGCTGTCAACAGAGTTGTTTAAGCTGTGAAGATCTGTTCGAATATGGACCTTTCTTCAGATAAATCCCACCGCATTCTTCCTCACTGCCTCAAGAACTAGGTTCCTGTCCTTCATCGAGACAAATTTGACAATGATGGGTACTGGCGGCTCAGGGCCAGCCGTGGAAGGTGACGACATTTAACGAGATTCAACTCCCAAGGTGGTTTTGAACAGTGTTCATATTTTGTCAAGACGATCAGTCTTGTCGTTTGGGAAGCCATATGTTAATAGATTTCTTCTTTGTGAGTACGTCTGAGTTTGGAGGAGTTTGTTGTTCAACATATCGATCTCGCCCTTGAGACATTTTTCAATGGTTGTTATCAGCCCTGAAGCACGGAAGATTCCTTGATTGTTAAACTGTATCAAGTTTTCCATAGTGTCAACATGTTTAGGAAGAACTTACTTATCAATAATATGTAATAGTGGCGATTCTATGATTTATCTCCTCTGTATGTCTCTGTAAGGCATTGGTAAGAAAGTGTTTGGTGAGAGGTCGGATCGGTGCCATTTTCTTACTTGATGAGGTTGGGTTGGGGATGTGTTGAAATTCTCCAACCTTATTCTTCTCTTTTGTCATATAGTTGGAAATACTTGTCAGGTCTTGTATTTTGGGCTCTGAACCCTTCATGGACTTGTGAGATTTCTTGTTTGTGGCGGGGCGGTCAGGTAGCCTAGTGGTTAAAGTGTTCGCTCGTCCCGACATGGGTACAATGTGTGAAGCCCATTTATGGTGTCCCCCGCCGTGATATTGCTGGAATAATGCTAAAAGCGGCGTAAAATCATACTCACTCACTCACTCTTGTTTGTGGCCATAATGAGTGTGATTAGAGGCTGATGACAGAGAGCGATCTGGCTGCATGCTATCGCCATGAACACCAAACCAGAAGAACTTTTATCAGTTTTAATTACAATAGTTTTATGTTTTCCATTTATTTGCTGGTGAATGGTAGGACAGTATTCCACATGATGGAAAGTTGTAACCATGGTAACTGTGGTATGATGTTGCACCACATCATAGAGGTTTACTCACCCTTGTAACCATGGTAACATTTATGACGTTGCACCTCATGATGGAGGGTCACTTGTCCTTGTAACCATGGTAACTAGTTTGATGATGCAGGTTTTGTACCACATAATGGAGGGTCACTCGTCCTTGTAACTATGGTAACTGGTTTGATGTTGCAGGTGGTGTACCACATGATGGAGGGTTACACAGAGATCGGGGAGTCCAACATCCAGGTCATTGACTACGTCTCTGGCATTGGATCCTTCTTCATCATAGCACTTGGTGGGACACTTATCGGAATCATCTACGGCCTGATTGGTGGATTCATCACCAAGCATACCGGCCATGTCAAGGTCATCGAGCCTCTCTTTGTCTTTGTTCTGGGATATCTTGCCTACCTGAGTGCTGAGATGCTTCACTGGTCAGGAATCTTAGCGTAGGTGATCGGCAATTTTACTAGTGCTGTTATTTGCTGACCATAAAGTCCATATTGTTTATGTGTTTGTTTGTTCTTTAACTTCGCACTCAGCAGTTTTCCAGCAATGTGATGGCGGTCTGTAAATAATCAAGTCCTGTGGTGATGAGCATCGATTGGGATACGATGAAATAAGTGAACCAATTCAGCAAGTCTGATCACCCAATTCTGGTGAAGACCAATCCTTACCTGGACCTTGGGTTTCCAGGTCAGGATGGGTCCTATGAATTGCAACTGAATAGAGGTTCAAGAGATTGTATTTTTTGTATTTTTCTGACATATGTTTCGGTGGGATTGACGGTCAAGGCCATAATATGATTTAGTCAGTGATAAGCTTGTGAACATAAAGACTTAAGTATTGATAACAGGAATTCAGTATGTGTGACCTGTCAAGGAAACCTGTTTGAGACAATTTTAAACCAGTCAGACACAGTCCCATTTGCTTTTCAATTTGTACATCTGTTTCAGTTTGACGTTTGGCGGCATCACAATGAGACACTACGTGGAAGCGAACATGTCAAAGCAGTCTGTGGCCACTGTCAAGTACTTCCTGAAGATGCTGGCCAACATCAGCGAGACTGTCATCTTCATGTTCCTCGGGCTCTCCACCGTCATCGATGACCATGACTGGCAGCTCGACTTCATCTTCTTCTCCATCCTTTTCTGCCTTGTCTTTCGTGTCACAGGTTAGTGACCTCCAGCATAAACAGGGCGATGGGATGGAAGGGGTTAAAGTGCTGATAATGGGGTGGAGTAGAAGGGGTCACAGTGTCTGCCTGTGATCAGCAGGGGGGGGGGGGGGGGGGAGGGGTTACAGTGTCTGCTTGTGATCAACAGGGTGCAGGATTCCAGGTTGCCCAGTTCATCATCCTTGTCATTGTGCAGGAATCTTGGTCCTCAGTACACCATCCTTGTCATTGTACAGGATTCCTTGGTCCCCAGTGTGTCATCCTTGTGATTGTGCAAGATTCCTTGGTCCCCAGTATGTCATCCTTGTTATTGTGCAAGATACCTTGGTCCCCAGTGTGTCATCCTTGTTATTGTGCAAGATTCCTTGGTCCCCAGTATGTCATCCTTGTGATTGTGCAGGATTCCTTGGTCCCCAGTATGTCATCCTTATTATTGTGCAAGATTCCTTGGTCCCCAGTACGTCATCCTTGTGATTGTGCAGGATTCCTTGGTCCCCAGTATGTCATCCTTGTGATTGTGCAGGATTCCTTGGTCCCCAGTATGTCATCCTTGTGATTGTGCAGGATTCCTTGGTCCCCAGTATGTCATCCTTGTGATTGTGCAGGATTCCTTGGTCCCCAGTATGTCATCCTTGTGATTGTGCAGGATTCCTTGGTCCCCAGTACGTCATCCTTGTGATTGTGCAGGATTCCTTGGTCCCCAGTATGTCATCCTTGTGATTGTGCTGGATTCCTTGGTCCCCAGTATGCCATCCTTGTGATTGTGCAGGATTCCTTGGTCCCCAGTACGTCATCCTTGTCATTAAGGGATGCTCATGCTTTCTGTCACTGGTTTGCTTCGCGCTCCATTATGTACAGGCTGTGGTGTCATTGCAGGGACGTTACGAACTGCAGCAATGACTGCATTCATTCACTCCCTTATTCATTATAACAAGTTATGTCCCTTAGTTGCACCAGGATGCCAGGACTGAAATGGTCCATGCCTGCTTAATTGGGGCTTTCCTGCTATATTAATTACAGCTGAAATGCACTCCAAAATGGCCTGAAACGCTCTTATTCATTTTGTACAGGCATTGTGATGCTGTCAGCCATTGTCAATAGGACCCGGCTGATCAAGTTGTCGAAGATTGACCAGTTTATCATGTCGTACGGCGGCCTGCGCGGTGGCATCGCCTTCTGCTTGGCCTTGCTTCTCAATGAAGAAGTGGTCACGGAGAAGAGGATGTTTGTTAGCACCACCATCATTGTTGTCTTCTTCACAGTGTTCCTGCAGGTACGACACAGTTACAGTGAAATGACACAAACATAATGAACATGAATCAGTCACAGTGACACGACACAAACATAATATAATATGATTCAGTCACAGTGACACAACACAAACATAACGTGACATGATTCAGTCACAGTGAGACGACACAAACATAATGTAAATTATTCAGCCACAAACATAATGCAACATGTAACACAATTCAGTCACAGAGTAACAAGACACAAACACAACCTAATTAGACACAAACACAATGTAACAAGACACAAACACAATGTAACAAGACACAAACACAATGTAACAAGACACAAACATAATGTAACAAGACACAAACACAATGTAACAAGACACAAACACAATGTAACAAGACACAAACATAATGTAACAAGACACAAACACAACCTAATTAGACACAAACAATGTAACAAGACACAAACACAATGTAACAAGACATAAACACAATGTAACAAGACACAAACACAATGTAACAAGACACAAACATAATGTAACAAGACACAGACAATGTAACCATACCAAGGTTGTTTCCTTGTAAGCTCTGCATATTGTGTATACAGATGCTGTATTTTGGCAAGACAGACTCTAAGGTTGTCTCCCCTGATATATTCACTGATGAAATTTACTTACTGTAAGTGCTAATTTTGTCACCTTGGTAGGATAAGAACATTGGTCTTCTTATCAACACACTGCTGTTTACAGCATAGCCCAACTAAACTTTGATTTTTTATTGATATAAAACCATTCAACTTTGGCGTATATACATCACTTTGTAGGCAATGTGGAATTAAAAAATTAGTGAATGCTGAGATCGTAAGAAATTTCACTTCATAACTATTTACGGATCTTTCCTATTATGCCATGAAACAGCAAACGGATCAGTTGTGATGTGTATGTGTGTTTACAAGTAGTGAGAAATGCCTCAGTGTTCCTGTTAAAGTTGGGGTCACAGGTGGCCCAGTCATCTAAGGCGCCGCAATATGCTGTGTAGAGTTGCGTCCCTTGGGCTCGCCAGAAACCTATGATTGTGGGTTCGAATCCCGGTTCGCCCTGATTATGTTTCTAGGTTTGTCAGCACCATACCCCTGCTCGTGGGCAACATACGCGCCGTGATGTAACTGGAATACTGTTCAAAGTAGCGTTAAGCCCAACTCACTCACTCACTCCTGTTAAAGTTTGAGTTTAATATTTTCAGTATGTCTGTATCATATGTTGATCAGGGAATCACAATCAAGCCTGTGGTTAATGCTCTAAAGATTGAGCGGGCGAAGGAGATCGAGCCGACTATGAATGAAAGGATCCACGAACGTGTGAGTAGTTTGACCCGTGAGATATGTACCTGATAGCAACAGTGAACACAAATAGTTGGATTTTGATTGTGCGTTAGGATGGGGGAGGAGGGACGGGGGAGACATTGGGGCCAGGGAAGCATGCGAAGGGGTGGAGGAAGACTATGTTGGGGGGTGGGGGGGGGTGAAGAAGACTGGAAAAAAACACAGCATTTGATGAATCTTGTGATGGAGAAAGTGTTAAGGGGAGGTAACTCTTTTTATCTTAATATCATTCGAAACACTGAACTTCAGTAAAATCACTTGTGGCTGAGCAATTTTGTTTCTTCATGAAGGACATTAATTTATATCCCCAGCATATAATGCGGGGGAATATAGTCATCATGTGATCTGTCTGTCCATCTGTCCATCCATTAACTTGAAAAGCGGGAAAGATTTTTCATCCAGACTTTGTACATGTATGAACCAGGGGTTGAAGTGGTGCCTTTTGCCATTGTGGGGCCTGGTGATGCCGCTTCTTTATAGGGAGTAACATGGAAGGGTTGTGAACAAAGACAGCTGCTTCAGTGGGACAGTTCTGTTTGTTGTTTAACCCCGCACCCAGCAATATTCCAACTATAAGACGGTGATCTGTAAATAATCGAGTCCAGACAATCCAGTTATTGTTATATTGAGCATCGATCCACGCAATTGGGATATGATGAAATGCATCAACCAAGTCAGCAAGCTTGACTTACTGATCCTGTTAGTCGCCTCTTACGACAAGACATGGATTGCTGAAGACCAATTCTAACCTAATCTTCACGGGTTATCCAGTTCCTGAAAACAAATATTTATCACGTTCATGGCACTGGTAATTTTTACTATGGGAGTGACGTGACAAAATGATGACATATATTTGTGGAGGTTTCATTTTGGGGAGCACTCACAGATGAAAATTTCAGTGGTGTAGCGATACAGCGATACAGTATTGTACCCGAATACAGGGCCCATGACAAAAATACATCAGTTTACAATATCGCGGTACATGTGATACATTACAGTCCAAGTTAAACTTGCGAATAATAACAGAAACCGGTTCACGCAGAGTTTCTGGTATTTCACATTCACAGTGCCATCTAGCTTATATGTTTCTGCCCTACAATATCCCATCTTCAATCAATGGAATTTAAAAACAAAAGATTGAGGGTGGATTCACTTGCAGAAAGAAAGAATATCAACTTGTGAAATATAAGTAATCTATGGGGATACGTATTGTATCGCTCCCAAAGTATAAGGATACATGCTGTATTGCTCCCTTAGTATCGTGATACATATTGTATCGTTCCCTTAGTATCATGATACATATTGTATCACTCCCTTAGTATCATGATACATATTGTATCACTCCCTTAGTATCATGATACATATTGTGTCACTCCCTTAGTATCATGATACATATTGTGTCACTCCCTTAGTATCATGATACATATTGTGTCACTCCCTTAGTATCATGATACATATTGTATCACTCCCTTAGTATCATGATACATATTGTATCACTCCCTTAGTATCATGATACATATTGTGTCACTCCCTTAGTATCATGATACATATTGTGTCACTCCCTTATTATCATGATACATATTGTATCACTCCCTTAGTATCATGATACATATTGTGTCACTCCCTTAGTATCATGATACATATTGTATTGTTCCCTTAGTATCATGATACATATTGTATCACTCCCTTAGTATCATGATACATATTGTGTCACTCCCTTAGTATCATGATACATATTGTATCACTCCCTTAGTATCATGATACATATTGTATCACTCCCTTAGTATCATGATACATATTGCATCGCTCTCATGGTATCAGGATACATATTGTGTCACTCCCTTAGTATCATGATACATATTGTATCACTCCCTTAGTATCATGATACATATTGTATCACTCCCTTAGTATCATGATACATATTGTATCACTCCCTTAGTATCATGATACATATTGCATCGCTCTCATAGTATCAGGATACATGTTGTATCACGAGCCCACCGTACCATTACACCTCATGGCTTGACTTAGCTAAAACATAAGGAAGAGAATTTATGGATGTCAGCTTCTTTATGTTGAGGAACACAACGTTTCGGAGTATAGTATAGGCTTCTATTTGTCCTTTGCTAATCACCTGTCTGCGCCAATTATCTGTTGGCTTCCCTTGTTAAGTGTCCACCTTTGTTATCTTGTTACTTTTGTTGTCCTTACAGGTACATATGTATGTTCTCTGCCTCATAGAATCACCTGAAGCATATACTCATATATATATGAAGGAGTAAGCATATACTCCGAAACGTTTTGTTCCTCATAACAAAGAAGTTGACATCCATAACTTCTCTTCCTTATGTGTATCACTTCTAACTGCCTTTCAAAGACTATACAAAACATGCACCAGTGCAACCTTTTATTGAAACATGCAACCTCATGTTTATGTCAACATGCACCAAGTGACAAAGTAGACAAAAGTTACGGATAACAACTTCTTTATTTACTGTAAAGCGGTGTTTCGATATGGATACTTATAACATTGTCAAGCAAGGCACCAAGTGCAAGTAAAAATTTATTCAAATTTGTGTCAGCCTCACCCTTCCTTGCCAATACACTCAATACCTCTATCTTTTATTTACCATACCACATTACAAATATCTGTGTCAGGTGTAATTTGTTGTGCATTTGTGGGCTTGACGTCATCAAACTTGGTACTTCAAGATCATATGCACACATCCGTTTTACAGTAACATGTCATTAATTAATGTGACACAGGTAGCAGACCGGCCCATGTTTCAACTTTCATAAATTTATGAGACCAGGATGAAACCTGGTTTTGTCAGGTGCAGCTGGGTTTTCATGTCAACATGCACATGGTGCATGTTTAATTTAGTTCCTTACATCAAGCCCTGCACTTCTAGAGCACTCATTGGTGAAAAACCTGACTCGTCCCTGTATGCAGAACCATCTAGTGTCTGTAGGGCCGATTGGGTTGTACACTCCTCAGGGAGCTGAGAACACAAAGTACTCTGATGCTTTCACCAGGGTAATGATTGTAATTGTAACGATGAGTATGTCTTGTGTGCAATTATCAGGTAGAAATAAACATGGTTGTTATAATTAATATTACTGATATCAGTGTTGCAACAGTGCTTTTATTTCAAACCTTGACCAAACAGGGGCGGTGGGGTAGCCTAGTGGTTAAAGCGTTCCACCCATTCTCACGAAGAATGTACAATTTCAAATTTAACCTGTCGCTTAGCCACTAGCCGTATATTTTGCATTAAATTAACTTGACAGAGAAAGTAAATGTTGGGAATGGTATTAGGAAAGATATTACACTGACATTTTGGTTGCTTTCCAAACCATATTTTTGCAGCATCGGTCATAATAGCAACATTTTAGTATAATGTGATTGTCGATTTTAATATCAATCATGAAACGATTGTGATTGGTTAAATGTCCTTATGTTTAAGCAAGTTATTCTTGGTTTTTCAGTAACTCTGATATATCATGCACTAGAATGCCAAATTTCACAGAGCTATCTTATTTAATGACGAAGTTATGCTTGTTAAAAACGTGTCGCCAGTTTTCAGGTAAGCTACGTTACTTTATTTCTGTTTGAAACAGCAACTGTCATTTTGAGATATAAAAACAATATATTTTTTCATAAGACATCACGAATACACACGTTGGTGAGCCAAAGTGGTGACAGGCATCCGGTTATATGTATAAGCACTTTATGTCACGAAAATAGCACCATTTTTGAGAGTTGAGTTAAGCTTGTAAGCTACGTTACTGCCGATACATAAAAACTGGTCTCCCGATTATGGTACAGGGATTATGCTCATGTTGCCTAAGTGCTGTCTGCTTGTCAAAGTGAGAAACAAGATTGTAAATATATTCCACGTGTGTTGAGGGTGTTTTATAGATCGAGATGTAAGCCAGGTGATGTAAGCTACGTGATGTAAGCTACGTGACATCTTGAAATAAAAAAGGGAGTTAATTACAGGAACATTAAGTCTACACTTTATGCCAACACTGAGAAGGCATAAGTGCTAATTCCCACCAGTCAGCAGTTGTTCCCCTTGTTTACCACATGTTTCCAGTCAAAACAGGTGATTTCAAGACAGGTAAAAACTGTGTACGTTTTTACAGATTTTCTGAATTAAAAAGGTGTGAATATGTATATATTTTTCTTTTGAAAGATTAATAGGTCAGAATTTACATAAAATCAAGCATTATTGAAATATAAATCACTTGCCTTTTTTACGTTTTTTAGTGTTATAAGTGCATGGCAGTGATGATATGTTTGTTGCTTGAATAAACAATACTAATGTTTTGAAGGCCATTGACATCAAAATTCACATGATCTAAAAGGAAATCAATAGATTTGTTGATCAAGTTTTCTCTCCAGATAAATAATTTTCCAATAGTGTTTCAGTATATACAGTTTTTTATAATGTTTGCTGCTTATTACTGGTGGTAACGTAGCTTACACATTTTCTGTGAAGAACATATTTGTTACCTGATCTGTGTCATTATGTGTTTGTTGGTGGACATTTTCACACCCTAGTTGCCAGATGTAATGATGACAGTTTACATTGAAGAGTAAATACTTAGTCTATCCTTGTTAGTCTTGCTGAAATCACAATATTCATGAAGGTAACGTAGATTACAATTTATGTAACGTACATTACTAAAATCATATCAGAGCAGTTTCTGATGTTGTATTTAACTGTAAGCGTTAGTTTGACTATTGAGGTACAAAGTATTTCCAGAATGTATGAACAAAAATATCATCCATGTTATTTAAACACCACGATGTAGTTTATTTTATTGAATATTCTTAATTCAAATTAAAAATCAGGAAGATTTTCCTTGATATTATTAGATTTTGTTTTTTTAAAAGGTTTTCACTTTAAAACTTCTTTATGTTTCTTAAGAAGACAATAACAAGAAATGATTACATACCTGAATCATTGTTACAAGTCTGGAAGCTCCATTGTAAATTTGTTTGTTTGTTTGTATAGTATTATGTAATCTACGTGACTGAATTAGTATTTGTTATCTTGCAAAAATGTATTACTTTATTGTTTAGATTTTCTGTCATGTTATTCTTTGTTGATGAACGTATAGATACATACGATCATAGGTTGACTTTGTTTTCCTGAATATTAAGGCATGTAGAAATCATTAACAGGTTTTGTTGAAAACAACCGTCTAAAAATCACTTTATTGTTTAAAGGTCAGCTCCATCATTGTTAAACAAGATTGGCATACCTTACTTGTGAACAATTAATAACGTGATGGTTTTCTACAAAGTCATGATAAACAGGAAAACAGAATTGCAATCACTTAACATTTACATTATTTTATAGACATATGGTGGTCACGTAGATTACATCCTGTTTTATGGGTTAGTGGCATAAATAGTTAATAACTTTGTTATTGGCAAAGCTCGAGTGCCAAAATTTTATATACTTGTGTTTTAATGTTCGTTCTACGAATAAAATATCATTTCATGGTGAAAGCTGAGACTTTATTTTTTCAAGTTTCCAAACTGTAATTGTACATTCTTCGTGAGAATGGGTGGTTCGCTCGACATGCCGAAGACTCGGGTTCGATTCCCAAGATGGCTACAAGGTGTGAGGCCCATTTCTGGTGTCCCGCGCCATGATATTGCTTGAATATTGCTAAAAGTGGCATAAAATCATACTGAGTCTCTCACTGACCAAACCACAAATGTATTTTTGTAAACATGTTCAAAAGATTTTGTCACAAAGCTTTGACTGACGTTTCAGTTTATTGACCACCTGATGGCCGGGATCGAGGACGTGGTGGGCAGAACAGGCCATAACTCCATCCGAGATAAGTAAGTATTGCTGGTGGAAAACTTGGCATGTTATTCACTTGTTTTTGTTGAAATATTTGAATTTGATTTGGTAATTTTAAAACTAATAAGTAATTGATTTGTTTATACAGTCTGTTTGAAACTTATATTTTGTGTTGATAAGTTAGCTATGTATAGATATATTGTGTTTAGATCAAAGGTAGATATTAGGCTTGGGATGGGTAACTCGGGTTGGGGTGGTCGTGAGTAGGACCCGGGTACCCACAGGACTACCTGGACCCGTGGTTAGTCTTGCGACATATTGTTTAATGATAACAAAAGTGTAACTCCTTGGTTACACATTGAAATGTGCATATAGATATTGTGCTGGCAACATAGCTGGATATCTTTAGACATATTGTGTTTGGAACAATGTCAGATATTTCCTGTAAACTACAATTATAACGAGCTCAAAGGGACCACTAGTTTTAGTTGGTGATAGCCGTTTTTCGTTATAAGCATTTACACAGCAAATGGCCTGGACAAAAAAACAGTTTATTATGTCCACCACTTTCTTATAAGCATGGTTGTTATAAACATAGTTTACTGTATTGTGTTTTGAACATGTTCAGATGGATATTGTGCGTGTTCAGATGGATATTGTGTGTGTTCAGATGGATATTGTGTGTGGACAATGTTCAGATGGATATTGTGTGTGGACAATGTTCAGATGGATATTGTGTGTGGTGGACAATGTTCAGATGGATATTGTTTGTGGACAATGTTCAAATGATATTGTGTGTGTTCAGATGGATATTGTGTGTGTTCAGATGGATATTGTGTGTGTTCAGATGGATGTTGTGTGTGGACAATGTTCAGATGGATATTGTGTGTGTTCAGATGGATATTGTGTGTGTTCAGATGGATATTGTGTGTGTTCAGATGGATATTGTGTGTGGACAATGTTCAGATGGATATCGTGTGGTGGACAATGTTCAAATGATATTGTGTGTGTTCAGATGGATATTGTGTGTGGACAATGTTCAGATGGATATCGTGTGGTGGACAATGTTCAAATGATATTGTGTGTGTTCAGATGGATATTGTGTGTGATCAGATGGATATTGTGTGTGTTCAGATAGATATTGTGTGTGGACAATGTTCAGATGGATATTGATATTGTGTGTGGACAATGTTCATATTGATATTGTGTGTGGACAATGTTCAAATGATATTGTGTGTGTTCAGATGGATATTGTGTGTGTTCAGATGGATATTGTGTGTGTTCAGATGGATATTGTGTGGTGGACAATGTTCAGATGATATTGTGTGTGTTCAGATGGATATTGTGTGTGTTCAGATGGATATTGTGTGTGTTCAGATGGATATTGTGTGTGGACAATGTTCAGATGGATATTGTGTGTGTTCAGATGGATATTGTGTGTGGACAATGTTCAGATGGATATTGATATTGTGTGTGGACAATGTTCAGATGGATATTGTGTGTGTTCAGATGGATATTGTGTGTGTTCAGATGGATATTGTGTGTGGACAATGTTCAGATGGATATTGTGTGTGTTCAGATGGATATTGTGTGTGGACAATGTTCAAATGATATTGTGTGTGTTCAGATGGATATTGTGTGTGGACAATGTTCAAATGATATTGTGTGTGTTCAGATGGATATTGTGTGTGGACAATGTTCAGATGGATATTGTGTGTGTTCAGATGGATATTGTCTGTGTTCAGATGGATATTGTGTGTGGACAATGTTCAGATGGATATTGTGTGTGGACAATGTTCAAATGATATTGTGTGTGTTCAGATGGATATTGTGTGTGGACAATGTTCAGATGGATATTGTGTGTGTTCAGATGGATATTGTGTGTGGACAATGTTCAGATGGATATTGATATTGTGTGTGGACAATGTTCAGATTGATATTGTGTGTGGACAATGTTCAAATGATATTGTGTGTGTTCAGATGGATATTGTGTGTGGACAATGTTCAAATGATATTGTGTATGGACAGATGGATATTGTGTGTGGACAATGTTCAGATGGATATTGTGTGTGGACAATGTTCAGATGGATATTGTGTGTGGTGGACAATGTTCAGATGGATATTGTGTGTGGTGGACAATGTTCAGATGGATGTTGCGTGTGGACAATGTTCAGATGGATGTTGCGTGTGGACAGTGTTCAGATGGATGTTGCATGTGGACAATGTTCAGATGGATGTTGCATGTGGTGGTCAATGTTCAGATGGATATTGCGTGTGGTGGACAATGTTCAGATGGATGTTGCATGTGGTGGTCAATGTTCAGATGGATATTGCGTGTGGTGGACAATGTTCAGATGGATGTTGCGTGTAACAATGTTCAGATGGATGTTGCGTGTGGTGGACAATGTTCAGATGGATGTTGCGTGTGGACAATGTTCAGATGGATGTTGCGTGTGGACAATGTTCAGATGGATGTTGCATGTGGTGGTCAATGTGCAGATGGATGTTGCGTGTGGTGGACAATGTTCAGATGGATGTTGCATGTGTTCAGATGGATGTTGTGTGTGGACAATGTTCAGATGGATGTTGCGTGTGTACAATGTACAGATGGATGTTGCGTGTGGACAATGTTCAGATGGATGTTGCGTGTGGACAATGTTCAGATGGATGTTGCGTGTGGACAATGTGCAGATGGATGTTGCGTGTGGACAATGTTCAGATGGATGTTGCATGTGGTGGTCAATGTGCAGATGGATGTTGCGTGTGGTGGACAATGTTCAGATGGATGTTGTGTGTGTTCAGATGGATGTTGTGTGTGTTCAGATGGATGTTGCCTGGGGACAATGTTCAGATGGATGTTGCGTGTGGACAATGTTCAGATGGATGTTGCGTGTAACAATGTTCAGATGGATGTTGCGTGTGGTGGACAATGTTCAGATGGATGTTGCGTGTAACAATGTTCAGATGGATGTTGCGTGTGGTGGACAATGTTCAGATGGATGTTGTGTGTGGACAATGTTTAGATGGATGTTGCGTGTGTACAATGTGCAGATGGATGTTGCGTGTGTACAATGTGCAGATGGATGTTGCGTGAGGACAATGTTCCAATGGATGTTGCGTGTGTTCAGATGGATGTTGCGTGTGGACAATGTTAAGATGGATGTTGCGTGTGGACAATGTTCAGATGGATGTTGCGTGTGGTGGACAATGTTCAGATGGATTTTGCGTGTGGAACATTACTCGATACACTGTACCCCCAGGTTTGAGCACTACAACACCAAGTACATCAAACCTTTGCTGCTGAGAGAGAAACCAAAGACAAGAGAGACAAAAATCTTCCAAGTGTTCACCAAACTGAACCTGCGTGACGCCATCGACCACATCGAGACTCACGGCAACTTCTCCCCCGTCTCCATCCCTGCTGAACCCTCCCTAGCCAAGGTCATCAGGTCCTACTCCGTTGCAGAGTCTGTCAAGTGAGTTGCCATGGTTACCAAAGATCATGTTTGAGATTTACACAAAAAGCATAAGCGTTTCTTGACACTTGATATGATGTTTCACGATTAAAGTGTCTTTGAAACTTCTAGCCGTCATCTGTCATTAATGTTCACGTTTTACATCTCCTCTGTAACCATGGTTATAGGGTGGCATAGTGGTTGAAGCGTTCGTCATGTCACGAAGAACCAAGTTTGATTCCTCACTTGGCTACACTGTGTGAAATCCATTTCTGTCATCCCTGGCCGTGATATTGATGGAACATTGCTTAGTACTTAATACTCACTCACGCATCTGAAACAATTTAGCTCAACTGAACAAAGCCATTTCATCATTATCACTCTACCTGTGAAGATTCGGAGTAGAATGGGTCTTCAGCAACCCATAGGCGACTATGCTTGTCATAAGAAGCGACTAACAGGATCGGGTGGTCAGGCTCACTGAATTGGTTGATGCATCACTTTGTATCCTAATTGTGTAGACCAAAGCTCATGATGCCAATCACTGGAGCATCTGCGCCTGACACGATTATTTACAGACCGCAGTCATACAGCTGGAATATTGCTGAGTACGGCGTTAAACAACAAACAAACATAATCATTCACTACTCATAATTTCAGCACAGTGGACAGTGAACCCCCAGTGGACACCGGCAAGACTGTGCTGGACATGCAGTCCGTGGATGCCATCTACACCGAGAAGCTCGCAGACGCGGGACACATTCACCACGTGCTAGAGGACTCCATGTTCAGGACGCGCAAGACGGTCAGTCCAAACTCTACTCTGTTACCATCTGCTTTGTCAGTCCATACCCTACTGTGTTACCATCTACTTTGTCAGTCCATACCCTACTGTGTTACCATCTACTTTGTCAGTCCATACCCTACACTGTTACCATCTGCTTTGTCAGTCCATACCCTACACTGTTACCATCTGCTTTATCAGTCCATACCCTACTGTGTCAGTCCATACCCTACTGTGTTACCATCTACTTTGTCAGTCCATACCCTACACTGTTACCATCTGCTTTGTCAGTCCATACCCTACACTGTTACCATCTGCTTTGTCAGTCCATACCCTACTGTGTTACCATCTACTTTGTCAGTCCATACCCTACACTGTTACCATCTGCTTTGTCAGTCCATACCCTACACTGTTACCATCTACTTTGTCAGTCCATACCCTACTGTGTTGCCATCTGCTTTGTCAGTCCATACCCTACACTGTTACCATCTACTTTGTCAGTCCATACCCTACTGTGTTGCCATCTACTTTGTCAGTCCATACCCTACTGTGTTACCATCTACTTTGTCAGTCCATACCCTACACTGTTACCATCTGCTTTGCCAATCCATACCCTACTGTGTTACCATCCACTTTGTCAGTCCATACCCTACTGTGTTACCATCTGCTTGGTCAGTCCATACCCTACTGTGTTACCATCTGCTTGGTCAGTCCATACTCTACTGTGTTACCATCTGCTTGGTCAGTCCATACCCTACTGTGTTACCATCTGCTTGGTCAGTCCATACCCTACTGTGTTACCATCTGCTTGGTCATTCCATACTCTACTGTGTTGCCATCTACTTGGTCAGTCCATACCCTACTGTGTTGCCATCTGCTTGGTCAGTCCATACTCTACTGTGTAACCATCTGCTTTGTCAGTCCATACCCTACTGTGTTACCATCTGCTTGGTCAGTCCATACTCTACTGTGTTGCCATCTACTTTGTCAGTCCATACCCTACTGTGTTGACATCTGCTTGGTCAGTCCATACTCCACTGTGTTACCATCTACTTTGTCAGTCCATACTCTACTGTGTTACCATCTGCTTTGTCAGTCCATACCCTACTGTGTTACCATCTACTTTGTCAGTCCATACCCTACTGTGTTACCATCTGCTTGGTCAGTCCATACCCTACTGTGTTGCCATCTGCTTGGTCAGTCCATACTCTACTGTGTTGCCATCTGCTTGGTCAGTCCATACTCTACTGTGTTGCCATCTGCTTGGTCAGTCCATACTCTACTGTGTTACCATCTACTTTGTCAGTCCATACCCTACTGTGTTGCCATCTACTTTGTCAGTCCATACCCTACTGTGTTGCCATCTGCTTGGTCAGTCCATACTCTACTGTGTTACCATCTACTTTGTCAGTCCATACCCTACTGTGTTGCCATCTACTTTGTCAGTCCATACCCTACTGTGTTGCCATCTGCTTGGTCAGTCCATACTCTACTGTGTTACCATCTACTTTGTCAGTCCATACCCTACTGTGTTGCCATCTACTTTGTCAGTCCATACCCTACTGTGTTACCATCTGCTTGGTCAGTCCATACTCTACTGTGTTACCATCTACTTTGTCAGTCCATACCCTACTGTGTTGCCATCTGCTTTGTCAGTCCATACCCTACTGTGTTACCATCTACTTTGTCAGTCCATACCCTACACTGTTACCATCTGCTTTGTCAGTCCATACCCTACACTGTTACCATCTACTTTGTCAGTCCATACCCTACTGTGTTGCCATCTGCTTTGTCAGTCCATACCCTACACTGTTACCATCTACTTTGTCAGTCCATACCCTACTGTGTTGCCATCTACTTTGTCAGTCCATACCCTACTGTGTTACCATCTACTTTGTCAGTCCATACCCTACACTGTTACCATCTGCTTTGCCAATCCATACCCTACTGTGTTACCATCCACTTTGTCAGTCCATACCCTACTGTGTTACCATCTGCTTGGTCAGTCCATACCCTACTGTGTTACCATCTGCTTGGTCAGTCCATACCCTACTGTGTTACCATCTGCTTGGTCAGTCCATACCCTACTGTGTTACCATCTGCTTGGTCAGTCCATACCCTACTGTGTTACCATCTGCTTGGTCAGTCCATACCCTACTGTGTTACCATCTACTTTGTCAGTCCATACCCTACTGTGTTACCATCTGCTTGGTCAGTCCATACCCTACTGTGTTACCATCTGCTTGGTCAGTCCATACCCTACTGTGTTACCATCTGCTTGGTCAGTCCATACCCTACTGTGTTACCATCTACTTTGTCAGTCCATACTCTACTGTGTTGCCATCTACTTGGTCAGTCCATACCCTACTGTGTTGCCATCTACTTTGTCAGTCCATACCCTACTGTGTTGCCATCTGCTTGGTCAGTCCATACTCTACTGTGTTACCATCTACTTTGTCAGTCCATACCCTACTGTGTTGCCATCTACTTTGTCAGTCCATACCCTACTGTGTTGCCATCTGCTTGGACAGTCCATACTCTACTGTGTTACCATCTACTTTGTCAGTCCATACCCTACTGTGTTGCCATCTACTTTGTCAGTCCAAACTCTACTCTGTTACCATCTGCTTTGTCAGTCCATACCCTACTGTGTTACCATCTACTTTGTCAGTCCATACCCTACTGTGTTACCATCTACTTTGTCAGTCCATACCCTACACTGTTACCATCTGCTTTGTCAGTCCATACCCTACACTGTTACCATCTGCTTTATCAGTCCATACCCTACTGTGTCAGTCCATACCCTACTGTGTTACCATCTACTTTGTCAGCCCATACCCTACACTGTTACCATCTGCTTTGTCAGTCCATACCCTACACTGTTACCATCTACTTTGTCAGTCCATACCCTACTGTGTTACCATCTACTTTGTCAGTCCATACCCTACACTGTTACCATCTGCTTTGTCAGTCCATACCCTACACTGTTACCATCTACTTTGTCAGTCCATACCCTACTGTGTTGCCATCTGCTTTGTCAGTCCATACCCTACACTGTTACCATCTACTTTGTCAGTCCATACCCTACTGTGTTGCCATCTACTTTGTCAGTCCATACCCTACTGTGTTACCATCTACTTTGTCAGTCCATACCCTACACTGTTACCATCTGCTTTGCCAATCCATACCCTACTGTGTTACCATCCACTTTGTCAGTCCATACCCTACTGTGTTACCATCTGCTTGGTCAGTCCATACCCTACTGTGTTACCATCTGCTTGGTCAGTCCATACCCTACTGTGTTACCATCTGCTTGGTCAGTCCATACCCTACTGTGTTACCATCTGCTTGGTCAGTCCATACCCTACTGTGTTACCATCTGCTTGGTCAGTCCATACCCTACTGTGTTACCATCTGCTTGGTCAGTCCATACCCTACTGTGTTACCATCTACTTTGTCAGTCCATACTCTACTGTGTTGCCATCTACTTGGTCAGTCCATACCCTACTGTGTTGCCATCTGCTTGGTCAGTCCATACTCTACTGTGTAACCATCTGCTTTGTCAGTCCATACCCTACTGTGTTACCATCTGCTTGGTCAGTCCATACTCTACTGTGTTGCCATCTACTTTGTCAGTCCATACCCTACTGTGTTGCCATCTGCTTGGTCAGTCCATACTCCACTGTGTTACCATCTACTTTGTCAGTCCATACTCTACTGTGTTACCATCTGCTTTGTCAGTCCATACCCTACTGTGTTACCATCTACTTTGTCAGTCCATACCCTACTGTGTTACCATCTGCTTGGTCAGTCCATACCCTACTGTGTTGCCATCTGCTTGGTCAGTCCATACCCTACTGTGTTACCATCTGCTTGGTCAGTCCATACCCTACTGTGTTACCATCTGCTTGGTCAGTCCATACCCTACTGTGTTACCATCTGCTTGGTCAGTCCATACCCTACTGTGTTACCATCTGCTTGGTCAGTCCATACCCTACTGTGTTACCATCTGCTTGGTCAGTCCATACCCTACTGTGTTACCATCTACTTTGTCAGTCCATACCCTACTGTGTTACCATCTGCTTGGTCAGTCCATACCCTACTGTGTTACCATCTGCTTGGTCAGTCCATACCCTACTGTGTTACCATCTGCTTGGTCAGTCCATACCCTACTGTGTTACCATCTACTTTGTCAGTCCATACTCTACTGTGTTGCCATCTACTTTGTCAGTCCATACCCTACTGTGTTGCCATCTACTTTGTCAGTCCATACCCTACTGTGTTGCCATCTGCTTGGTCAGTCCATACTCTACTGTGTTACCATCTACTTTGTCAGTCCATACCCTACTGTGTTGCCATCTACTTTGTCAGTCCATACCCTACTGTGTTGCCATCTGCTTGGACAGTCCATACTCTACTGTGTTACCATCTACTTTGTCAGTCCATACCCTACTGTGTTGCCATCTACTTTGTCAGTCCATACCCTACTGTGTTACCATCTGCTTGGTCAGTCCATACCCTACTGTGTTACCATCTGCTTGGTCAGTCCATACCCTACTGTGTTACCATCTGCTTGGTCAGTCCATACCCTACTGTGTTACCATCTACTTTGTCAGTCCATACTCTACTGTGTTGCCATCTACTTGGTCAGTCCATACCCTACTGTGTTGCCATCTGCTTGGTCAGTCCATACTCTACTGTGTTACCATCTGCTTTGTCAGTCCATACCCTACACTGTTACCATCTGCTTGGTCAGTCCATACCCTACACTGTTACCATCTGCTTTGTCAGTGTCAGTCCATACTCTACACTGTTACCATCTGCTTTGTCAGTCCATACTCTACACTGTTACCATCTGCTTTGTCAGTCCATACTCTACACTGTTACCATCTGCTTTGTCAGTGTCAGTCCATACTCTACACTGTTACCATCTGCTTGGTCAGTCCATACCCTACTGTGTTACCATCTGCTTTGTCAGTCCATACCCTACTGTGTTGCCATCTGCTTTGTCAGTGTCAGTC